CTGGCTGTGAGCAGACCTGGAGGCCCCCTTTCAGCCATGAGCACCCCATCATGCTCAGGTGATGGGCTGGGGGACAGCAGGGCCCACTGGGGGATAACGAAGTTTCCTATCCGCCAGCGAACAAGGAAGGGACTGGATCAGTGACGAGCAGGTATTTGGCTTGCTCAGTTCTGTATGGGGGGGGGGGGGGGGGGGGGACAGTGAGTCCTGGCCAGTCAAGCGAGGGTCCCCGGAGGATTTCCTCTCGCTCACTCATTGGTCACCTGGGATGGGAGATGGAGGACATGCCTGTCCTGCCAAGAGAAGATCAGAGCCTGGGGGGAAAGGAGGGGCCCCGGGACGTCACCTCCTCCCCAGCAGTGGAGCACCCAGTCCTCCAGCAGGACCCATGTGGCCAGGGGACTAGACGAGGTCACTGAGCAGAACTGAACACCCCGCCCCAGACCCCAGTGCATGGTGACCACACTGGCCGCGAGGCCCATGGAGCAAGAGGAGCAGTGGGGAAAGGGAGGGGGACGGAGAGGAAAGTGGGCAGGGGGAGGGGCGGACTGAGGGTGGTGAGTGGTCAGCACTCAGCCCAATGGCCGGCTGTCACCAAGCCGTGGGCACAGCCCCTCCAAGATGTCCCAAACCAAGGGGAGTGTGGGCTGAGGGTGTGGCTTGAGGGTGTCCGGGGTCCTGCGGGGCCGTGTCCCTTCTGTGTGTCCTACTTCCAGGCAAACCTCGTGGTGGGGGCAGTGGGGAGGAAAGCTGGTCACCTTGAGAGCTGGGGGGGAAGTTGTGCTGAAGCCCCCCAGCCAGCCCCAAATCCCCAGAGCAAGCCCGAAGTCACCAGCCAACGGCTTTCCAAACCCACCCTCGAGCACACGCAGGTAGGAGTGTGCCACTGCTGAGAGCTGAATTCGGGTCACAAAGGGCTGGAGAGCAGGACGATGGATGAGAAGCAGGCTGTCCCCTGGGCCCTGCAGCTCCTTCCAGCTCCAACCAAGCCCCCAGCAGGCCCAGCGGCAGCCCCTCTCCCCTCCCGCTCACCTGGGGGCTCTGCCATTGAGCCCTGCCTGCCCCTCCCCTGCATGTCACCGTCCGCAGGAGGGAGGCCAGGCCCCAGCCAGCTCGGGGATGGGGCTCTGTGCCCACACTCCTACGGCCTGTGGAGCAGGGGCCGTGGGATCACGTGGCCCCGGCAGGGGTGAATGCTGGTTCCAGGGCACCCTTCTCCCACTGGGGGAGGCGGGAGGAGCAGACATTGTTGGTCGCCCACTGCTCTTACCCCCAAGCCCACACCAGGCCTCCAAGTGCCCCCTCCGGGGGCTCAAGATGAGGCAGGCCTGCCGCCTGAAACAGGGCCTCATCCCCCACAGCCTGGGGCTGGGCAGGGTCTCATCTCTGTTCTCCAGGGCCTCGGCTGGGGCTCCTGATCTCCTTCCCTGGGTGCTGACCTGAGGTCAGTGTGGGGGTGGGGAGCACAAGTGGCCAGCCGGGGGCTCAGAGCCAGACTGTTCTAGGTCAGCTTGACCAGAGGCAGCTGCGGTTTCCATGGAGCCCTGCAGCGAACCCCAGCAGAGACAGACCTGCTCCCAAGTGGGGCTCAGCGATTCCACCCCAGGTCCCCCTCTGGGCTCAGGGAGCCAGAAACTCACAGGGGCAGGACCCAGGCGCTTGCCTCGGCCCTGACACAGCAGCCACACAGCAGGGTCACCCACAGCGGGGTTCAGGGTGCTGGGCTGACCACAGGGCCCCTGCAGCGTCCCACCCTGCCAAGGGGAGGCACAGGCCTACACTCGAGAACCACACACAATCGCGTGTGTGCACACCAGCATCAATGCCCATAAACGCATGCACACGAGCAGCACAGACGTCCTGAGCACTGGGGTCTAGGGGCGATAGCCGCCCCCGTGGGCACCTGGCCTCCCCCAGGTTCCCTCCCCGCAGCCGCTGCCTGGCTCCCCTCCAGCCCCACCGAGGGCTCACGCTGCCAGCGCTTCGACCCCACACCAGCTGCTCCTCACCCGTTTGCAGTGCCTCACAGAATGAATGGACCTTTCCGGCTGCGGAGATGGAAATGCATGTAAGTGCGGGGAGGCAACCTGGGCAGGGGGCTCAGGACTCACAGTCAGGAGAACCTACTCTGCTGGGGAGAAAAAACCCCCTGGCTCCTGGAGCACTTGCTGGCCTGGAGGGTCACAGGGGTGTCTGGAGCCCAGCGTCTCCAGAAGGGGATGAGCAGAAGCATAGTGAGGCCCCGGCCAGCCGGGGGCACAGACGGACACCCGCCTTTGCTGTGGCTGCCAAGTGGTGAGATGCAGGGCAGGGTCAGCCGCACTCGACCATGGGGGCTTGGGATGCCCCTCCCGGTAACCCAGGCCTTCCCCAGATCCCAGCGGTCAGCAGCAGCTGGGACTGGAGCTGTGCCTGCCAGGAGAAGGGTCCAGATGCTGACACCAAGTGGCCTCTGCCCCAGGCCCCCCCACGGCCCCTGAGAGGGGAGTGCAGAGGTCCCCATCTCGAAAGCGGAGGCCAGCCTTCCCTCGGGGCCCTGGCTGCGGCGGACAGCACCATGGCCTCCCCCGACAGACCCCTGGGCCGTGAGAGCCGCACAGCCCAGACCAGCCTTGTGAGAGGTGGTGAGGGGTGAGAGGCGTGAGAGGTGGGGTCCGACGCCTGCTTCTCCGGGGAGCAGGCTGGGAACACAGAACTCTCAGCCCCCGGAGCCCGCCCCAGGCTGCAGGGCTATTTAGGGAGTCCGCAAGGCCAAGAACGTCGCAGAAACAAAACCCCAGGCAGGTGCCCGCGCTCTGAGAGGAAGCGGTGCCATCTGCCCAGTGAATGGCGCTGATTACAGACGCTCCGGAAGTCCCGCTTTCTGCAGGAGCGCCGCCCTGCCTTTAATCCTCGGCCTCCACCCGCTGCGGCCCCCCAGCCTCGCCACAGCAGAGCACAGGGGCCGCCCAAACCCAAAAGAAGCCTCCCAGCACCCCACACAGACACGTGAGACACGGGCTCTCCCTGCTGCCTAGCAGGGGAAGAAATCGGGGAAGATACTGTCCACCTCCTCCCGCAGGGCCAGGCTGGGGCAGCCCACATCCGAGCCCCATGGCTCCAGGGGGCCGTCCGGGAGCTCCTGGGAGCCAGGCTCGGGGTCTGTCAGGAAGCCTGGCTCTGCCCTGTCCAGCAGGCTGCTCCTGGCTGTGCTCCGAGAAGGGGCACTGGCACCTCTGCCCTCCAGAGACCCTGGAAGCAGATGGGACACATCAGCCTGGGTGCCTGGGCCGGGCACAGTAGGGTCAAGGTGCAGAACAGGCCCGCCTCCGTCCTGCCCGGCTTGGAAGCCCTTGGCTCCCGAGGGCCATGACAGGTGGGCGAGCCCACTCCTGCTGGCCCTGCTCGAGACCCAGGAGGACCCATCAGAGCACGACACAATGCCGTTTCACAAAACTCTAATCTCACAAACATTCTGCTCATCTCCCATCCAGGTGCCCTTGCAGGGAAGTTTAGAGAAAAGCACAGACCCCGAGTAGCAGAGAAGTCACAACCAGCTCCACACACCACGCTCACAGACACTCCACACGCACACACGTCCCCTTGCGTTCCCCACCCCAACGACCCTGAAGACCACCAGCGGGGAGAAAATAGGGGCTCAGAAACAGATAGCAGGACCTTGGTGTGAGCCTGCTCACATCTCCCCGTTAATCCCAGCCAGCTGCCCAGCCCCTTATCCAGATTGGCTGAGGCCCCAAGGCCTGGCCCTCATCACTCACCCAGCCACCAGTCGGGACCGGCGTTCAGCAAGTAGGACGTCCCGTCTTCCACGTCACATCCCGACACGGACCTGAATGGGACCAGACTTCACCCTGAGTGATCCCAGGTGAACCCACTCCTCGAACCTCAAGAGGAAGGTGCAGAACCTCAAAGGTGGCTTCAGGTTCAGGATGAACCGGGTGCCCCTCCCTCCCTGCCAGACCCTAAGCCTGCCCACTGAGGACGGACTGGCCCGTCCCCCTACCTCTGCTGGGTCCCCCCCACCCCCTGCCTCTGCCACACTCCCTTCCCACGCCCCAGCTGGTGCACGCTCATGAAACACAAACTCCTTTACTATCAGCCAAAACACAGACCGGCGAGGAACATGACAACGTTTTCGGAAACGCGTCAGAAAGCCACATGGTGGCGTCTGGCTCAAACGGGCCTGGGCTGGCAGCTGGAGCCCAGGCACAGTGAGGGAGGGGGACAGACTTCCCAGGGGTGGGGGCGGGCAAAGCGTGAGCAGAACTGGAAGGAGGCGTGTGGGACTGCTGTAAACGCCCAGCAGGGCACCCACCTGGCGTCCAGTGTCACGACACAGTCGGCCCCCTCCGCTGGGGTCCCAGCCTGGCCCAGGCAGCTCTGAGCCTCTTCGCTCACCAGGGGGGAGGGTGGCTGCCACAAACGGGGAGGCCAGGGTGGGGGCAGCCTCAGCGCCTTGGAGGGACTTGGGCCTGGGGGCTGGGACAGCAGGCTGCAGGGCTCTACGGCAGAAATGAGATGCGGGTCGGCCTTCCCCACACGGGCAGCAGCCCTCGGCCCCTGCCTGCTGTTCCCGGCACAGGGATAAAAAAGCTCAGAAGCAGGAGGCAAACAGATGACCCGGAGATGGACACCCAGGGCTGCAGTGCTGGGCACCTGGGGCCACGGAAGCTTCTCAGAGAAAACACCTGCTTGGCCTCAGATCAGCCCTTGGGGCTCAGATCTGGAACCCCACCCCATCTGCCCACAGTCCCTACCCCAGCCTCCTCCCTCAGATCTAGCTCCCTGCCATGTGACCTCTGCACCCTCACGCCCTGCCCGTGGCTCCCAAAGTTCTCTGGAGGCCCCAGCTCCACCGCCAGCCCTGGTGACAGCAAGCCCCCTCCCCTGCTCCGTGGGCACGTTCGGGCAATCAGAAGGCATCCTTGGCTCCCGGGGCAGTCACGCGCATGGGGCCTAAAGGCCCTCACAGCCATTCGTGCCCAAGGAGTGACAGATAGCTGGGGTGCGGGGTCCAGCACGAGGCAGAGGCAGTCATCAGCAATGCCCTGCGGGCTTGGCTGGCACAGGACAAGGGCCCTGCCCGTGCAGAGCCCGTGACTCACTGGATTACACAAGGATCAGGAGAGCACCAAGAAGCCCAGGCTGTGTGGGGGCTGCTCAAGAGAGCCGGGCACAACAGTGGCCAGCAGCAGGCACGAGGACGGGACCCGGGGACCCCTAGAGGCCCAAGGTGAAGGAGGACTGGGGGCCTGTCCTTGGGGAGCAGAGGCTCGGACCCTGCTCCCTGGCAGAGAACAGAACAACAAGGACAGGCCGAGAACGGCCCCCGCCTGCAGCTGAGAAGCCCAGGGCACCTCGGCTGTACCCCTGCCCCTGGTGGCGCCCGTTAACCTGTGTTTACCACAGCTGAGGGCAGCACGGGGTCCCCGAGGTTCACCTTGACACGCAGGCGCGTCACGATGAGAGAACCACAACAGGTGTCCAACCCTTATTGATAAACAGACCCCCAGCCCCATGCCATCCTACAGCGCGCCCCTGTCCCCTCTCTGGCGAGAACACCGACCCCATCCGCGCTGGGACCCGCCCTTGCTTACCAGGGAGGGCTGGCGGCCCCTCCGGCCCCTCGGCCACCCCTGACGGGGCCTCGCCCTCGCCTGCGCCCGCGGTCACACAGCCGGGAGGAGCCCGTGGCCTAGTGACACAGAGACAGAGGGGGAGCCTGAACAGTCTGCGTCTGCTGCCCCCGCGGGCTCCCCAGCCACCCAGGGGACACTAACACAGTCAGGCCACAGGCTCCCATGCCGCAGTCTGGGGGCCCTGCAGCGCTCGGACGCGACGCGGCCTGCTGCGTAACATCCCTCTGCCACTCGCGCCACATCTCCTTGGAAGGACCAAGAACCTAAAATGGAAACAAACAACCTAAACGACAGCGGTCAAGCAACGCACATGGGAAACCAGGCTGTCGGCTGTCACGGGCTGCCCTGCGGGGGTCCAAGAGGCTCAGCCTGAGCGCAGACCCCAGCCCGGAAAAGCAAAACAGGGAACAGAGGGGATGTGAGGGACTGAAGTGGGGACCGAGATGGTTCCCGGGGGCTCCCGCGGACAGCTGGAACTGGCAGAAGCAGAGAACGCCAGCCGAAATCACAGCCACCCTGGCTGCCCCGCAGGGAGCAAGGGAGGTCAGAGCTGCCCTCCCCCGGGGCGGGGGGGAGGGGGAGAGATGCCCCCCAGCGGCCCCTCCACACAGCGCGACCCGGCGGCCTGAACACCACTCACAGCATGCGGCTCCTGGCTGGGCACCAGGGTGCCAGCAAGCTGCAAGAACTGCACCGCCATCTCCAGGACCGAGGCCATGTCCTCCCGCCGGCCATCAAACCGGGGCAGCAGGGCCCGAAGGCGCTCACAGCTCACCGAGATCCGCTTCCTGCTTCCAGACAAGCAACAGTGTCCGTCAGCCCACCTAGCCTTGGCCAGGGGAAGGACCTCAGCTGCCCGAACGCCCCTCGGAGCCGCCCAGGCCCTCCACTGGTCAGCTCTCCCAACAATGTGAGCCCTTCAGGGTCGCCGGCCACAAGCTACCCAGACGCTTGCACCAGCCATGGCCAGCCGGGCCCTGGACGCCCCCCCCCCACGCCCCAAACCCCCCCACCAGAGACCCCAGAGGCACACCCTTGAGCAGCCCAGGACTGCGGTCAGAGAGGGGGCTGCAGAGGTGGGCCCTGGGAAGCCCCTCCCTTGGGTTTTCTTGCTCAGCCTGCCGCGTGCTAACTGCCCCCTGACTGCATGGCCCCTACATCCCTGTTCCAGCTGCCCACACCCGCGTCACAGCCACGAATCTGATGTCCTCGGCCGCCCCCGCCACAACGCCGCTGCAAGCCCGGGACCATCCTCCACCCACCTGCGCTCCCTCTCGCTGAGCACGTTCCGCGGGAGGCCGAGGCCCGAGCCGGAGCCGGAGCCGGAGCCGGAGCCGGAGCCGGGGCCGGGAGGCTCCGGGGGCGCCCTGAGCGGGCGCGCGCCCTGGCCGTGGTTCTCACTGCAGCCCTGGCCGCTGGCTGGGGAAGAGCCGCTGCCCAGGACACGCAAGAGCGCGGAGCTCCGTGAACCCCGGAAAACGCCGCAGGACCCTGGGGCCCTCATGGACGTCTTTGGGGGGCCGCCGGGGCAGGGGTGGGGGTGATGCTGGACAGGGTCCCCGTCGGCCCTCCCTTCCCCCACAGGGCCTGAGGTCGGTGCCCTGCCCCAGGGGGTCCTGCCGGGTGGGGACCTGCAGCTCAGTTCCCCACCCCCGGCACCCCTGAGCAGAGGCCTTCCGCCTGAGCCCCTCCAGCGCCCCCCAGGTCCTCACCTGCACCCCCCAACAGCAGCCTCAGGACCCCGGGACGCCATGAGCGCAGCCGCAGGGAGGCAACCACACGCCGGGACCCCCAGGCGCCTGCCCCACGCATGCGTCTGGCCGGCTCCGCCCACTCACGTGCGCCCCTGCCCCACGTGCCCCCTGCCCCGCCCAGGCACGTGCTCTGTCCCGGGGCCTCAAAGTTTCTCCCAGCGGAAGTCGGAAGTCGCTGTGAAGTGGCGGCCGGGGTCGGCAGGCCCTGAGGCCGGAGTCTGGCCTGGCCTGGGTGCCCCTCCCGGCTCTTCCCGGGGGTCGGGGGTCGGCCCGCTCCCACTCAGGGGGGGCCTCCCTGGGTGCTGCCCCGACCTGCGCTCTGTCAACTGGGAGGCAGGGGCCCTGCCCGCAGGGAGCCTGACTAGGGAGGGGGCCGCAGGTGAAGGACTACCCCGGGAAGGAGGGGACGGGGCTGGAGCGGTGATCTGGGCAGGGCCGGGCAGCCGGCATCCCAAGCCAGGGGACCCGCACGAGTGCAGGCGCTCCCGGGCGCTGTCACGTGAGCCAGGCGTCAGGACGCCAGACGCGGCAGGTAGGACTCCCTCCCTCTACGGAGCGGTCTGTGTTACCTGCGGCGTGGGCAGCCACAGGTGTGGGGGGAGGGGGAGGAGACGGGAGTTTCCGGAGCACGGTGCAGCCAGGAACTCAGCTAGGGGCTGCCAGAGGAGAGCGGGAAGGCTGGTCTGAGAACTGCTGGCGGAGATGTGTGGGACTCAGGGGTCGGCTAGGGGCGGCTGGAGGATGCCCACGTGCCCCTGGAGGCCAGCAAGTCCGCAGTCCCCGGAAACACGTCCTCTTCCCAGGCGCCCCACCTCAGTGAAGTGCCCCCCTCCCGCAGGAGCCAGGGGCATGCTGACAGCTCCCGGCCGCAGTTCCCTCCCTGTGCCTCCCCAGCACCCCAGCGCCCGAGGGCTGGCCTGCCTGCCTCCCCACCCCTGCCTCTGGCCACGCATGGGCCCTCTGCCTGCCCTGCGCCCCTGGATTCTCGCCACCCTCTCAGCTCACTCCCCAGGGGAGCGCTGCTCAGAGCCCCAGGGCCCCGCAGGTCTCTGGGGCGCTCGGTGCCAGTGCTCTAGCGGTCTGTCTGCTCCTCTTGCTGGACCTCCAGGGACGGTGGTGGCGGGGCGTCCCTGGGAGGACTGAGCCCCTCCCACCAGGGGCGAGGCGCCCTCTGGCGCCCTTGGGGTTTTCCAGCGTTAAAGCGCTGCCTCCTGTTTCTCGCGGTTACGAGGGTTCCGAGCGCCGCGGTGGGGGCGGGTCCCGGGTGGGGATGCGCCGACCCCGACTGTCCCCCTCCCGGTCCCCCGCCCGGTCCTACGCCGCCGCCATTCCCGGCGCGGCCGGCAGGGGGCGCGCCCGGCCTGGCGCCCGAACCCCGACCCTGAAGCAGGCTTTCTTCTGCTCGGAGAGAGAAAGTGCTGTGTTTCGGAGCAAAGCGAAGAAGCTTTTCCCTCGGCTCCGGATCCGAGCCGCTGCCGCCGCGCATGCCGCTCCCCGACGGGGCGCGCAGCCCGGGGGGCTCGTCCAGGGGGTCGTGGCCGGGGGCGCGCGGCGCGGGCCACACCAACCGGACCTTCGTGTTCGACGACGGCCGATGCGCCCCCAGGTACGGCCGATGCGCCTCTCCGCTGGCGGAGGGACCCCAGTCCCCGCCTGCGCCCCCTCCCAGGACCCTTGCACCCCAGAAACCCCCGGGTCTCCGAGAGCCCCACATCCCAGGTCCACCTCCACGCCCGCACCCGCGAGCGCCCTTCCCCGCCTACGGTGGGGACAGGAGAGCCCCACAGGACCCGGCCGCGCGGAACGACCGGCAGGTGCGGAGGGCTGACGTCTGTCTGCCTGCGCTCTTAGCGTGCAAGTGGCCCTAGCGCGGCCATTTTTAGGTCTGAGGCTCCAGCATCTCCCAGGCGCAGGGCCTCCCAGCACCCCACCCCCACCCACCGAACCTGGAGGAGGGGTATATCAGGGTGCACGCCAGCAGGGGTGGCTGCGCGGCACCCAAGTGGGGCATGGCAGCAGGGGTAGTCCGCAGGGAAGCGGTGTTCAAGGGCCGTCCTTCCCAGGAAGGACCCGGACCGGGGTGTGGGAGGCAGGTGCGCTGTTACACAAAGGGCAGGAGTCCTGGCTTTTAATCGTTTGGTATTTTGGCTTGTCATTTCTCTTTCGGGTCCCTATTTGCCCCGCGGTCTGAAAAGAGGGCCACTGATATATAGCTTCTAGGTGGCTTGGGAGCCTGGCATGGACGGTCGGCCACCTTTCCCCACAGTGTCCCAGGATGCCATGCGTTCTGTGCAGCCAGGACTGCACCGGGGAAGACAGAGTCCCAACGGACCGGCTGGGTTTTTGTCCCAACCCAGGGAAGGTCATGCTGGGTGGAAGGTCAGGCTGGATGGGGAAAGGGAGACTGAGTGAGGGCCCCCAAGAGAAGGTCAGGCTAGGTGGAGAGCCCACAGGAAAAGTCAGCCTGGGTAAGGACCACCCCCACCCCCCACTCCCACCCAACAAAGGTGAGGCTGGACTGGAGTGAGAGCAGCTACGAACAAGTCTGCTGGGTTAGGGAGGCAGGCTTCAGCTGGGAGAAGCAAGACCTTTCTCGGGTGGAATGAGGGCCTGGGTTGGGGAGCTTCTGCGGGCAGGTTCCTGCACCCAGCTTCACAGCAGGGGCGGCTCCAGAGTCCAGGGGCCTGGCTTTGCTCCCCATCTGGACCGTGGGTGCGGCTCTGTCTTGAGAGGTGCTGCATGATATCAGTAACAGTGCTGGGGTTCTGGGCAGAGGTGGGGTGGTGGGTACCCCTGCCTTCTGCTGGCAGGGGCCGCCCCCAGGCTGTGAGGTCAAGCACCAGGGCTCCTGGGGAGGGCTCCTAGCTCTCTGGGCTGCAGGAATTTTTACCTTGGTGCCTGGACCCCTGCCTGGACCCCAGGTCTATCCCTGGGAGGTGGGGTCCCAGGCCCCAGCCACCCCATCCGATCAATGGGCACTGCCCTTTTTATCCTGTTGCTTCCCCAGGTACAGATGTCACTACCCTGCAGGTGACAGTTGTAATGGAAGGGACAGAGGCCTGGGGAGGCCTGTCCTGCCCCAGAGCTGGCCAGTGGTAGCCTTCTGGTCCGAGCTCTCTGGCGTTTCCCAGAACTGCCAGTTCCCCTCAGCCCTGCCGCTCCCCACTGGGGGCTGGTGTGGCACCCTGTGGGCCATGATGGCAGAGGGTGCAAAGATCCGGGGCTGGCTTCCTGCTGGGGACGTGCCTGGCAGGAAGTCTCGGCCAGCCCTCCAGGCCCATATTAGGGAGCGGTGCCTGAAGGGCAGTAGGAAGTGGTCCAGGCCCTGTGGGAAAGGTTCTCAGGAAAGGTTCTCAGGCCGAGGTACAGCCCAGCTCTGGCCGGCGCGAGGGTGGCCTCCTGGTCTAGGGGATTGGAGGGGACTCGGGTCTGCCTTCTGCCAGCAGAGTCTGCAGCAGCAGCTCAGAAAGACAGAGGTGAGTGAGAAGGAGACAGAGGTGGGGGTAGCCACTGGGAGCTGTGCTTCTGTCAGAGGGCAGGTCGGGCGTGACCTGTGTCCTCACGTCCCGCTGCGCCACGGCCTCTGAGTGTGCTGGTCTGTCCGCCAGCCAGCTTGTCCGCACACCTGGGTCTGAGTGACCTGTGGGGTGGCCGAGTCGGGCTCTGTGGCTGTGCCTTCCCCTCCCCACGGAGGGTTAGTGACTAAGTGTGAATTCTTTCACGAGGTTTCTCCCTGGGCTCCTGGAGGACGCAGGGGTTTGCAGGCTGGTCCGGAGCGCTGCCTGCCTTCAGGGAGGCAGTCCTTGTCTTCTCTCCAGACAGGCCCCCAGGATTTCTGCCCTGGGAACCTCTGCCTGGGTGTGTCCGGAGCCTTGTGGGTGAAGCGGGCTACTGGCCGGGTGTGTGCGTGCCTGAGTGTGTGTGTGCGTGTGTGCACACACGCACATTCTGGTAGGAGAGCGGGACAGGACAGGGCGGGGGCACCTGGAGTGTGGAGGGGGGCCCTGCCTGCTGCTGGAGCGGCAGGGGATGATGGGGGTGCACGGGAGTCTCTGGGGGGAGCTCCGAAATGGGTGTTGGCTCAGGAGCAGCACCTGATTACCCAGGCATTTTTAAAGTTGTCTCGGGAACTCTTTCGGGCCTTGTGTGTGGGGGTGTTCTCCACATATTCACCCGAAATCTTTTTCCGCCCGTGGAGCCATGGGCCTTGCCCAGGAGATGAGGCTCATACGAGATGCTGGTGAGTTCAAAACGTTTGCAGGGGATGGAGGCGGGGCTGGGCCAGCTCCCCGGACTGGAGTCCCTGAGAGGCCTTCCGGAGAAGTCACTGTGTCGTCTGGACCTTCCTCCCTGCTGTCGCTCTGGGCTGTTCTGTGTGGGGCAGTGAGGTCTGGAGGCCTTTGGACAGGCCAGCCACCCTAGGCGCCAGTCTTGCTGGCCCGTGATATTGTCGGACGCGCTGACAGTGACTGGACCGGGGCTCCTTGCCGGGGGCCTCAGCTGGTGCTGGTCTCCTGAAAGGAAGGGCAGCCACCGTGTCCTCGCTAGTGCAGGGGATCCAGAGCCTAGGGACCCAGCTCCGGGCTGCTGGGCGGCCGCAGGAAGGGGCCGTGGCTGGGACCCGAGCAGCGTGTGAGGTGGTGGTGTCCGCTGCCCCCGCCCCCCACCCGTGGCTGAGGCACAAGGGCTAGTGTCCTGGGGTGCTCCTCTCGTCAGCTCTGTCCCTGCCGCTGGAGCCGTCACGGGGGGA